CCAAAGAGAGAAACGGGCCTCCTTTCGCCGGCACCGCTGCCGCGCTGTGGGCCCCACGTGCCGCTGCCGACCCGGCGCGGGGGCCTGAGCGGGCGCCTCTCCCGCAGCCTCGGGCGCACGCAGAGAGCCAGAGGGGACCGACAGACACACAGACACACGGACTCCCGCTACCCGGCTCGCCCAGCTCCCTTCCTCCCTCGCCCTCGCGGTATCTCCATCCCCAGGTCTCCGTTCAGTGCGTCCGCGGCCCGCTTCGACGGCAACCCGGGGCGCACTCGGGGCACCGGTGCGCTGCGCTCGGGCAGCCTCGGGCGCCCCGGCTGCCCCCAGCGCACTGGACCGACAGCCCTCCTCTCGCAGGCTAATCGCCCCGCGGGGAAGTGACGTCAGTCCAGGAATCGGCCTATCACGGACTCCCATTCAAATCCCAGCCCCCTTCCCGCGCTCGGCACCACCCAGCCTTACAATGGCCTCGGCGTCCACGGCTCCTGCAACGCGAGGACAGGGGAGTGCCCCCTTCTGCCCTCAGAAGCGTTAGGCCTGCGTCCCTGGATGCACACCCTCTGGCTTTTCTTCCCAGTCTCTCTGACCTCCCCTCAAAGTCTTGGGTGCCTGGAGGCCACCGCAGACCACCAGAGTTAGAGTTTGAGGGAAGAGGGTTAAGGTCGTGGTATCGCCAGGACAACCCAAGTGAGCGCTTGATAGACTGCGAACCGGTCACTTCATCTACTGTCTCTCTTTCCCCTTACCCAGCACTGTGCAGACTACGCGGTAAAGACTGGGGGTTAAGGGAGGGATTGAGTGTCCTCCTGTGTCTAGATCAGTAAGTGTATCCCATACATAATGCCTGACTTGTAAGGATTCCAGCGGCAAGCTACATTCAAACCAGGTTCTAGATGTTGATATCAGGCTGCTGGCTCCCTTCCCTCTGGTTATTCCTAGGCATAGCCAATAAGGTGCAATCGATTGGGCCCTGGCGCTTTGAAGATACCCAAGACCGGAATTGGGCTCCTATTTATCTCCCACAGGGAGAGAAAAAACCCACATCTCCTACCATCTTTCTACTCTCAGCACACAACTGGCCTACTCACTCCAACTGGTTCACAGAGCAAAAAGATTGACACCTTGGGTTTCCCAGAGCCACCGTAGAATTGAGCCTGTCCACTAAACTGGAGCTCCATTTCAGGCTCCCAAATGTGACTGGCTCATAGGTGCTCTCTTGAAACCACTCCCTTCTTCCTGGTGCCTATGCTCCCACTTGGGCCCTCTGACTCACCCCTGCACCCATCCCTGGGAGGCCAAGGATTAAATATGAAAAATTCGATAGATTTGTTCCAGGAGCTAGGGGGAAATGCAACAATAGAGTAGGCTAGCTGATCCCGGGATCCCAGCAATGACTATACAGGAGTGTCAGAGACTCCTGTCCTAAGGTCCAGGGAGCACCCCAGGCTTAGGTGGGGGCTACTCATTCAGATCTATTTTAGTGGGGCTGGAAATCCCTGGCCACTCTCCACCAGCAAATCTCTGCAGGGTGTGTTCGAAGCATAGGCCCAAAGCGGGTGGTTTGGAAGGGGTTTGGGGATTTTCCTAAACACATCCAAGGTATTCTCCTTTTAAATAACACATCTGGATTTTTGTCAAGGACCAGGCTTTGCCATGCACCTCTTTACACTGCTGCCTGTTTTGGATTTGTCCTATTTCAGCTTGACCCAAAATCCAAGGTGGGCTGTATTCCCAGTGCCATTCTTGGTCAGCCTGTGACCAAGCCAGCTAGTGGTAAAACACCACTCTCCAAATTCCACCTCACAGACACATCCTTCTCTCCAGAAAAGGGACATAAGCCAGACCTTGATGAGCCTCAGAAAAATAGAGAGGCCGACCTACCGACCTACCAACAGCTAGGATTTGGAAGGAACCTCAAATTTGGCCCTACGTGGTTAATTCTAAAGGATTTTCATAATTAGGGGGTGCCCCTTTCTTCTCCGCCTACGGCTTCTGGAATCTACACCCTTTTCCATTTAGCTGTGTGTCTGTCAGTGTGGGGGACCTCCTGAGCTCTATGCCTTCTGGGCCACCCTGCGCTTGGATGGTAGAGGGGAGGTGTGCGAACAGAATTCACCTGAGAGTGAGAGGGGGGGAAGAAAGGGGGAAATAGGGGACAGGAGAAAGAGGAGAGAGAGAAAAGAAGGAGCCTTCTCAGAGTGCAATTTAAGCAGGATGCTGCACAAAATGGCTCCTCAGCGAGGCTCACGGTAACAGCACACTGGAGCCCTGGCCCGCAAGCCTAGGGCTGGTTAGCGTTCTGGGAGAAAGATTAAAAAGCTTGATTTTACATTCAGTTCAGGTGCAGCAGGTCAATGCCACCAAGGCCGCATTTCTGTTGTTTTTAAGGAAACCACGTCCCTTGCCAGAACAGGTGAGGTCGACCAGGCAGAGGCACCCACACCATGCTGGCATAAGACACCATCCTGGAACAGAGACTCCTTCATTTTTCCCCTCCAGTACCCAGGGGCATGAAAGCATCATAGGCTCACTCTCAGGAGGAAGATTACAGTAAGGCTGAACCTTGAACCATGAGCTGCCTGCCATTTGGAGGTTGTTCTGATGGGGCAGGGCAATGGGCTGTCTGTTAGCAGCCACACCCAGGTACAGCAGGGGAAGCCCCCAGGTCAGCACCCAGCAGAGGCACATTGTTTGGAGCCAAGGCTACTGAAGGAAGACCCTACTGACCTTGGCTCTAATTGTCTCCTCCTCTGCATCCTGGACTGGGTCTGAGTTGAGTTCGACGCACTTCCTCCCACGTCAATCTCTCGCCTCTAGCCCACTGTCCCAGCACAGTCCTTAACTCGCAAGAAGAACCACCACTGGGTCTAGAGGTGGCCCAGCTAGAAAACTGCGGGCGGCTGGTGGGCCCTGGCCATGGTGCTGAGAATCACCCACCTGACATTTCTCTCCCTCTGCTGTTCCACTTGCCCAGAATTTCCTCCGTCAGCTAAGGTTTGAAACCCAAGCTTTAGGGGTGCCTAAGGCTAATTAGAGAAGCAAGCATCCAGGGGCAAGTCCAGCATTTAGACATCTCCACCAAAGATAGGAGACAACATCTTTCATAGTCAAAGCTCCACAGAGGGAAAAAAAGCCCTTAACTGAATCTACAGAAGCTACTAGACATTTGCTCTAGAGCCCACTGACTCAGGAAACCCACACTGCACTTTCTCCTTAGGCTGCCCCTAAGGCTGGTGTGTTACTTGTGAGAGCAATCTGTATGCAAGTGCTCCGCTTGCCTCTAGCCCACGTTTCTATTTCCCAATGATCAGTAGTTATTCAGTTCAATACAGGCCGTAGATGGGCACCTTCCCCTTCAGGACACAATGAGTTAAGGGGTTCAGAGAAGGACGAGCCAATTCACAGCCTTGCTCACACCCTTGTCCTGTGACCAGACTTGCCCAGATTCTGAGGCTGGGAGCCTGAGGCTGATGGAGCACAGCAGATGTAGCCTCTTGGCCTGCCATTCACTCTGGAATGAGCACTCCTTTTGATCCCCTCTGGGCTGTAATTAGGACACAGAATCTCTAGCCACAACCCAGGCCAATTCCAGGTGCCTTTTCCCCCATTGCTGCCTTCCTCTCTCATTCTTTCCTCGGGCCCAGGCTTTGATGAGCTGATCTTCCTATTGTCTGGAGGCTGGAAAGGCTGTTCATTTGGGAGATCCAGCTTTGGGTTCCCTCAGCTGGAGCCAGCTCCTGGTACCCAGAGGCTAAGAAGCCTCCACACCTACCCTCAAATACACATGGCCAATTGGGCTGCGGTTCCTTCTCTGGCTTTCCACCCAGCCTGTTTCCCCAGCAGCTGAGGTGTAGGCAGGCAGGGTGCGGGCTCTTCTAAACAGGAACCTCAAAAACACCCTTTCCAAAGGCCAAGCCTTTCTTCGGGACCTCTAGCAGCCAATATTGCTGGTAGAGACTCCTGAGGTGTACCCCAGCTTCTGCCCACTTAGCCTGCCTCTGGCCTCCCTTGATTGAAAGCCAGACCCTCAAATAAACTCCATCCCCCACTGCCCTGCCGCCAAGGTTTAAGAATCTATCACCTCCTGAACATGGAGATTCAAAGGGGGTCTCCCCTTTAGACTCAGCACCCTGCATCAGTCCCTGGCACAATGGCTCCAAGCTTGTAATTTTTTTTGAGGGGGGGGATGTTTTTACTGCTCCAGAGATCTGGGCTTGAGTCTCTCCTTGCTAGAGTTGGCCACCTCCTTGCTCTGCTTGGGCCATCCTACGCCACCCCACCATCCCAGCTGCTCCCAGAGAAGCCCCCTCGACAGTCTCAGCCTCCATGCCTTCCCTCATTCTTCTCAACTCAGAGGAGGCTCCAGAGACACCCACAGACAGATCCAAAGGCCTGTCCGAAAGCACAGAGCGGGGGGTGCTGAGCAGAAGAGCTTTCCCAACTTCCCATTTCAGAAGGGGAAAAGGGCGTCATAAATCTTGTTTAGAGCGGGTGCTGTGTGTTGCATTCTCTCAAAATACGTTTTCCCGGGAAGCCACTTTGTAGATTATTTGTATGTTGGCGGGGGCTGAGGGATAAGAAGGAAGACGGGAGTCACGGTAGGGGTTAGGGAGGGGGACTCCCTGGAATCTCTTTTAGAAACATTTTCTTTCTCTCAAACCTTTCTACCTTCCCACAACTTCCATCGGACCCCTTACCCTGTCCCTTTCTGAACACCATGGGCGCGTCTCACTGTCCCAAGACCCTTGACCTTGGTCTTGACGATTTGCGAGAGATGCCTGAGCTCTGACCCACAATCAGAGTGCAACCCCCATCCCTCCAGTAGTCAAGGAAAGCCCTGAGCCCCGTGAGATACCCAAGAGGGACCCGCAGGGATACCCCAGGCCCCTTCACCAGTCCAACCGTCTTCCTGACGCTGTCCTAGTGCAGACTACTGCCCTGGCGCCCTAGCTCCTCTTTGCTGGCCTGACCGAAACGCAAAAGGCATTGGAACTTACGGACCCGGGAGGGGGCCGGGGCCCCATGAGGCGACGGCGGGGGTGGGGCGGTTGTGGTGACGGTGGTTCGGTCGCCCAGGATCAGGCGAGTCCCCAGGCTCAGGCCCAGCTCCGGTCGCCCTCCAGGAGCCGCTACTCGCACGGTCGCGTGGCCGAGAGCTGCTAGAGGCAGGCGCGGCGGCGGTGGCGCGGGGGCTCCTGGCGGCGCGCTGCTTCTCCCGGCTCTGAGCGGCTCAGCGCCGCCTTCTCGGGCCGGCACGGCCCGCAGTGACGTCAGCGCGGCTCCCCCCGCCCCCCCTGGCTTCACCCGGACCAGTGCGGAACAGAGAGGCGGAGGCAGGATGCTAGGGGCGCCCTGTCCTGAGACCCGGCCCTGTCTGCCCCTGCCCAGCTTGCAACCCTCTCCGCAAACGACCCGCACTACCGGGCTCACCCAGAGCCACCAACCACCTGGGAAGTGGTGACAAGCCCAGGGCTGGAAATCTCGCTGGCAGCTCCAGGATCCAGGATCCAGGATGCTCGGCGAAGAAAGGAGAGCTGAGGGCTTGAGGCGCCCTGGGCGAAAAGGGGTCTTTTGATCTTTTCGCACACACAAGTGATGATTGAGGGGACCCATGAAGGATTGGCAGATCCTGGGGGTCCCAGTGTGGGCTCGGAAGCGACCCTTTAGTTTTCAGGAACGTGTCTCATTAACAGCGTGGGTTGTGTTCTAGGCTGGATCGTGCTGCTCCGAGACCCAGTGCCTCCCCCACCCCGCCTCACCCGTGGGCTTGCACCTGCAAACTCGTTGGGCCGCAGACCGCCCCCGAGCCGCTGTCCAAATGCTGAATCCGGCCTCCCCGGGGCGGGCTCCGGAGCCTGGCTGCACCTCGCTCGGCATTGTCCGCAGGGCGGGCACAGGGTTCTGGGACTCCGAGACAGAGCCCCTGAAATTCTAGTGCTCTGAGATGATATTGGGAAGCTACAAGGAAGGGGGCGAGAGGTCAAGAGGAGGCGGGAACAGAAAGGGCAGGCAGACCCGAGTGCCTGACCTGCGGAACCACCTCTTCCTCTTGCGCCCCGGTGGCTCGCTCAGGATCCCTTCTGCCAGTGTATGTTTCTCTCGCCACCACAGCAGGGGAGGTCCCTCCGGCCGAACTTGTCAGCGGGTCTCATCATTCATCACGAGCCAGACAGACAGGCCAAGTTCATGAGCAACGCAGTTAACCCCTTGCAAACTGTTCGCCTCCCAAAGGAGGGAGCCTTTTGAATAGGGAATGCTGTCTGGGATTCCTGGGACACCACCTCCCGGAAGCTGGCCTGCCACAGCTCCTTTCTTCTTCCTGGTCTCGCTCCGAAAATTTTTTCCTGTTATTTTCTTACTTTTTTTTTTTGGGTCTCCAAGATATTTCTAGAGTCTTCCTCTTATAAATTAGTTTGAGATAGATACACACATAGTTGGTTTTCTAGACGTCTTCTCTTCCCAGGTCGTGGTATGTTCATTTTGGAAAAATACGAGATAAAATATCAAATGGCCTCAATCTACACTTGGAGGCCTGACCTTAAAAGAAAAAAATAATGAAATTTTTCTTATTAGAAGAATCTAGATTTCTGGTTGTGAAGAGCAGGGGCAAGAAGAGAAAGAGAGAGGGGGAAGGAAAGCAGGGGAGGGGGAGATGGAATAAATGCGATGAATCAGGCTTCTGGAACTGAACGGGAAAAGGAAACCAGAGAGAAGCTTCCAGAAAAGGATCTGAGAGGGAGATGTGTCCAGAGACCTGCTAGAGCAGCCTCAGAGACCCTGGGAAGTACCATAAGAATGTAGACACAGGAACCAAGAGAGAGAGGTGGGGGGTAGTTGTTCTTGGTGGGGAACCCTTGAAGGGTTCAAACATTTCCCTTGCACTTCATCCACTGGCTTCTGCTGTAGTCTCTAAAGTTGAAGATGGTCTTCCTCTGGCCTAACCTGAAGGCTTGATCTAGAGTAGGGTTGTGTGGGTGTGTGGGTGTTGGGGGGGGGGTGTCCTTGCCTGAGGCAAAGGCTATTCCTTGTTTTGGAACCCCAGCATTCCCCTAACTTTCTCAGGCTCCCCTTACAGTCTGGCAGACTGGGCCACTCTTCCCCTTCCCCCACTTCCTATTCAATTCCTGGCGTCTGGTAGCTGGCGGCAACTAGGGCGACCTACCAACTTTTCCCCTGGGCATTTTCTCACCCCCTTCACCCCCCAGTGCTTTCTTTTCTTCTCCTAGCGCTCCTTTTGAAAGGAGGCACCCAGGCCCAGAACGTGTTCTGCAGTTTAACTACTTCCAAATTCTTTGTTCGGGTCACCCCGGGACTCCATTGTCCGCTATTGAGAGCGCGGGCAGGCCGGCGGGTGCGCCTCAGCCTGTGCAGGCCTTGAATCCATTAGGCCTCTGCGGCTCTGGGCCTTGCGTCAAAGCTTGTCCCCTACACTCCCGCCCTCGGCTGCCTTTTTTGGATGAAATAAAGTCACTGAAAAGGGCAGGTTCGCCTTGAGGTTACACGGGTCTCACTCTCAGAGAGAGTGGTCGCAACTGCCTCCAACGAATCTGGCCCACTCACCTCAGCCTGAACGCCCTTTGGCTTGCCGCTAGATGCTTGGCTAGTGGTTGCTTTTTGAGGGAACTGGATCTCGGGAATCGGATGGGGAAGTGACAACCAGCAAAGACCTTCTCCATGTCTTCAGTCTTCCATTTCCACCCTCACAGCTGGCATTCCCCTTCTTGGCTTTCCTCAGGTCTCTCCAGCATCTCAAAGTCGCTCCTGAACAAAAGGAGTGTGGGAAGGGGGTCCCTCTTCAATAGGAATCCCCTCTGGGAGCACCACTGTGCCCCGTGTCCAAATTGCCTCCCCAACATGACACCTTCCCAGGTTCACTGAGAAGTGGCCAAGTATGATCTTGCTATGCCTTCCCAGATCCAAGAGTATGACGGAGGGAGAACCCCCCCCCTCCCCCATCATGGGAACCATGGCTACAGAGAGGCGTGACTCTTGCGGGGATGAGGTGGGTAGCCTAGGAAGGACTCCAAGGCCATGTGTCCCAGAAACACCCTAGGCAGGCTGGGATCCTGACACTGTCTCCCAGAGACTATGTGTTGGCCTTGAACCCATGAAACAACGAGGAAGTTCGAATATCAGTGGCCCAGGAAAGGCTAGCCATTGCTTATCCCAGAGCAAGGTCACTTGAAGCATGACCTTCTTGCTGTAGGGTTACCAGGTCGTCAACCCTGATGCACAGGGCTTCTAAAAGTCGATCCGGCCTCTGGTCTGCCTGTTTTGACCATTCCTAGGATTGGCACAGTTAATTAGGAACAGATTTCTAGAGCATAGCCACAGAGGAGCCAATGAGAGGGCAAAGATGGGTACTGTGAACCAAGAAAGGGTGCAGGTGGGACTCAGGACTCAGCAAGAGAACACCGTCCGATGCACCGTTCGATGGGCGCCGCTCCTGGCAGGCCTGGGAAGCGGGAGGAGAAAGGTCGCAGGACTCAACCAAGCCAGACCACTCTGCAGCTCAAACGATCCCTCCCACTCCTCTGGGCTCCAGAACCGCAGCTGGCGAGACCTGCAGAGCTGCGAGATCTGACCAGACTAAATGAAAGCTCTTGCAGACACAGATGCTCTTAAGGGTCTCCCACACTCCCACCCACATTTTCTTCGTTCCTTTCGTTCTCGCAGGGGAACCCAGGGTCCTCTGCTCTCCGCTGTCCTGACCTAGCGGCTCTGGCGTGCTGATGCTGCTCCGCGCATTGTCCAACAGCGCTCTCTGCCGGGGTTTCTGCTCGGAAGCAAGCACGCACCGAGCCTAGCTTGGCGGCGGGAAAGACTTCTCCTTCTGAGCGAAGTGGGCGGTGCTACGCCCGCGTCCGGATGGTTAGCCACATCAGGGCCACTACTTTACGGGGTGGTCTGGACATCTCTCCCCCTCCTGAGTCCTCTTCACTTTTCAAACTCTGCCGTGGGTCAAGGACATCATCTATATCGCTGGGGACATCAGGACAGTTGAATGGAGCCTGGGGACTTCAGACCCTGTCCTTACCTAAATATCAGCCCCTTCCCAGCTGTGCCTTCTCATCTCTGCGGTTTCCTTTCAGCCAGGGTCCTTCTCAGCTTTACAGACTTCAGAAAATGAAAAAAAGGTTATTTCCCTTTGGGTGGGGTGGGGGCATCTAATGCCTGAAAGTGTAGACAATGCCTGTAAGATAAGGAGGTTCTTACCTTGCCTGGATCTCACAGCTGAAGTCCGGAACATCTCTGAAGGCTCAGACATGATGTTCCCAGTGGCCAGAGTGTGGGCGGGTTCTTGACATTCATTCACTCAACAAATAAATGCTGAGTTCTGAGCCCACACTGCTGGAGGCTTAGCTCAGAAAAGGTAATTAGCTTTCCAAAGGCTATAATCGAGGCCTCTGGAACCGAAGAGAACACAGGGCCCTGCTTAAAATTGAAGATGTTTATGCCTGAGATGAAAATGAATTCTACTTAGGCAAGAGATGTGCTTATGCGTATAAAGAAAAAAAAAACCAACACGTGACTCCTAGTAGCAGACAGAACAAACCCAGGGTAATCTGGGGCAAAGGTAGCTCAGGTCCATGGAAACCGTGGCATGGTTTGGGCCAGATTCCAACGCGACCTTCCTGCAAACACCATTGGATATACTTAATCAGTATGATGCTGAACCTCACATGGCTTCAAACTTCTGAAAATATATGCTTTTGTTAAAAAGAAGATTCTAAGTCAGAGCCTGTGACCCAGAGGGGTCCGTTATGACCTCCCTGTCAGCTAGACCAGATGGGTTTCTGTGGCCCTGTTGACAGCTCCTATGTTCACCACTTTCCCTGAGAGCTAACCGGGTGAGACCTGATCTCTAGCCTGGGTCTGCTGGAGGAAGGGCCTAGGCTGGAGGCTTGCAGAGGAGCAAAGCGACCTGAGAGAGTCAGTGAACAAACCAGAGGGTCAAGAAGAAAGAAAATGTCGGAAACACTCCTGTCTCTCCCTTCCAGCGGACTCTTGTTCCTGTCTTTGGCCTGCTTTAGCAAGATTCTGTCCCGTCACTGCCAGTTCTCTGACTCAAAGCAGCTCTTGCCAAGCCCAGCATCCTTCTCCGTGTGCCTTTCCCGGCAGGCAGCACACTGCAGTGCAGTCAAGGGCACACGTTCTGGGAGCCAGTCTCCTGGAGCTGGCGTAGTGGCTCAAGACTGTATTCTCATCCCTCAGGAGGGCGAGGCGGGATGATCACAGAGCGTCTGAGGTTATAGAGGGAGTTCCAAGCAAACCAGGGCTGCAGAATAAAGTTAGGAAAAAAAAAAAAAAAGCCGGACACCTGTCAAAAGCACCACCCTTCAAGAGTTTCCATGGAGGCAAGAGCAGGCGCGCCACCATGTGGTAGCTCTGACAACTTACAACGTACTTGGAAGCGAGTTTGATTAGCCTTGAAAATGGTGCAAGATTTGCTGCATTGGGATTTGTTCGCAGCATGAAACCTACTAGGGGTTAACGACTGAGTGGGTATGTTGCGCCAGACACTGGGGTAACCACACCGTTACTGAGCGCTACCCCTACTCCAACTGTTGCAGTAAACACTAGCGACACGCCACCCTGGCAAACCCCAATCCCAAACATGTGAAGTCTTGGCTAGTCAGGGGCTGACCCAGTATGAGATCCCAGAGTAACTATTTCTTTTCTTTCTTTGAGTTAGGGTCTCACTGTGTGGCCCAAGAGCTAGTAACTTCACCATCATTCTGGATCTTGCTCCTGAGGGATGGGGTCTACAGGTATGCACTAGTACACCTGGTTGGAAGATAGGTATGGTGTGTGTGTGTGTGTGTGTGTGTGTGTGTGTGTGTGTGGTTTTCAGGCGTTGAAACTGAGACTTGAGC